CAATTACCTCCTTGTTGCTAAATCCACTGACACTTTTTGGTTTCCATATTGAGTTTTTATCAGTATTCAACTTGACCACTTAAAAGTCTGCCTTCTATTATGGCTTCACTTACTCTCTGGATCCTTTGTTGGTCCCTCTTCCATTTCCTAGTCCCTTAATATTGATTGCTCAGAGCTTGGACCTGAGCTAACTTCTTTTTTATTCTAAACTTCTCTCTCCCTAGATTACTTCATTCTTTCTTACTGCTTTAAATACAATCTATATGCCAATGACTTCCGAATTTAGTCTAGACCTTTTTTTTTTTCCTTTTTTGTCTTTTTTAGTGACTGGTAATGGGATTGCAACCCTTGGTGTTGCGCCCGCACCACGCTCAACCAGTGAGCGGGAACCGGTCTTCACATGGGATCCGAACCCTCGGTGGGAGCGCCGCTGCGCTCCCAGGCGGCGCACTCTCCAGTGCACCACCGGGCCGACCCTAGTCTAGACCTTTTAAGCTTAGATTTTCCCAGATTCCTATATCAAATATGCCCTTGTATCACTTGGTCATTTCACCTGGGTACTTCACAGGCATCTCAAACCTGGCCTTTCCAAAATTACGCGTTTGATCTTTCTCCCAAATCTGTTCCTGTTCCCCCAGTCTTGCCCATATCAGATAAAAGCATTTTCATCCAATCAGTTAATCATGTCTGCATTAGTCTGTTTCTGTTGCTTATAATGAAATACTTGGAACTGGGTAATTGATAAAGAAAACAAAATTTATTGCTTACAGTTTTGGAGGCTGGCAAGTCCAAAGTCCAGGGAACACATCTGGTGAAGGCCTTAGTAGTGACAGTGACCCAGGGGTCTCACATGGTGGAATGGTGGAGCAGAGAGAGACTCTCACATACTCTTCCTTTTAAAGTCTCAGAACCATGCTCATAACCACCATTATTAATCCATTCACTACTGCATGGTTCTCACAATGTAATCACCTTTTCATGGCCCCACTTTTCAATTACCACAATAAGATTTCTCATCCTCTTAACAATCACAGTGGAGATCAAGCTTCTAATACATAAAACTTGGGGGACACAATTCAATCCATATCAGTATCAGAAGTCTGGGAGTTAGGGCTGGCCCGTGGCTCACTTTGGAGAGTGTGGTGCTGATAACAAGGCCATGGGTTTGGATCCCTATATAGGGATGGCTGGTTAGCTCACTTCGGAAAGTGTGGTGCTGACAACACCAAGTCAAGGGTTAAGATCCCCTTACTGGTCATCTTTAAAAAAAAAATCTGGGAGTCAGGGCTGGCCAGTTAGCTTAATTGGTTAGAGTGTGGTTCTGATAACACCAAGGTCCAGGGTTCAATCACTGTACCAGCCAGCCACAGAAAAATAAATAAGTAAATACATTTTTTAAAAAAGAAAGAAATCTGGGAGTCAACCTTTCCTCAACTCCTATGAGCCAATTCCTTACTAAGTCCTATGGAACTTACCTCCAAAATAAATCTAGGATCTGTCCACTTCCACTATTTCTCCAAGTCCTAGTCACTATCCTCAGCTAGCATATAGGAGTAATCTTTAACTGGTCTCCTTGCTTCCACTCTTCCTGTGCCACCAATACTGTTACCACTACCATCAAGTGCCTCTCTCCCCTGGATAGATCTAAACTAAAATTCCTGCTCTCTGACTTTCTTTACCTAACTCTTCCTAGTGCTTTCTTCAAGTCTGTTAATGGAAGCTATGTTAACACTTCCTATGAGTGGTCTCTATTAATCTCATTCATTGCATATGGATTTTGCTAGTTTAACTTTCATTTGTGACCTCATTTCCACGTTCTGCTGTATACCTTGTGGTTTTTTGTTTTTTGTTGCTTCTTTCTTTCTTTTGTTGTAAATAACTAGGTATGAGTAATTGAACAGTTGATGACCTGATCAAGAAATCAGGATTTTTTTTTTTTTTTTTAAAGATGACCGGTAAGGGGATCTTAACCCTTGACTTGGTGTATCTTAACCCTTGACTTGGTGTTGTCAGCACCACGCTCAGCCAGTGAGCGAACCGGCCATCCCTATATGGGATCCGAACCCGGGGCCTTGGTGTTATCAGCACCGCACTCTACCGAGTGAGCCACGGGCCGGCCCAGAAATCAGGATTTTACAACTGTCTGACCTTTGGAACACCAAGGACTTGTGGCACATTGATTTTTTTTTGTAGTTAGCACACTGTGTAATCCAGACTTGCAATGATCTGCTATCTTTGATGGATTAAAGTCTCCCTTTTTCTAGATATGTGGCCCCAGAGGTTATGTATCATGTGATTTAATTTTTAAATTCCAAATAAGCTTTCAGAGCATAAATTTATCAACAACTTGTTAAAGTTGTGTTCAGTGGAGAGGATGTCTCAAAGTGCTGTGCTGTTTGGGAAAGTTAAGCAGAGGTCCAGGGAAGCTGTGCCAAGCAGGCCACCAACAAAGGCAAAGCCAGCATTTTACTGCTTATTCAGTAAAATGCCTGGAAACCTCTATTCCTCACCACTATGAATGTTGCTCTCTGTTAGGAAATTATGTAGAAATACCATAACAAGTTGTTTAAATACTATAATAGCATATACATAGAATGAGACATAAAAATACTATAATAATAACTTGTTCTTTTATTTTCAAAATGTCAGCATTTTTGTTTGTTTTTTTGGTGGCTGGCTGGTACAAGGATACTGAACCCTTGATCTTGATGTTACCAGAACCATGCTTTCCCAAGTGAGCTAACAAGCCAGTCCAAAAATGTCAGTTTTTAAAGAATCCTATCAACTCACCCTTTAACCTTTCCTATAAAAAGTCCTACTCATAGAATATATTTCTAAATTTGTCTCCCATCCCTCCAAATCTCTTTACCCTAGCCAACAATCTTCAAGATACTTCAAAGTGTTACTACTCAGTAGAAAACAAATTCCACTCCAAGTGTGGCCATTGTGTCATTATTTTAGTGACCTTTGCTTTGGTTCTTGTTCTGTTTTCATAACTTAAAAATCTAGAAGTGTCTACTTCAAGTGGCCCTTAAGCCATTCCTGGGGCCTTTTCCTTCAGCTTCACCCATTGGAAAGACATGCTTGGGGGACTGTGAAGAAACCCCACAAGGAAAGGAGGGGAAGCTGGGTTCTAATTCAGTGCATGAGTGTGGGCAGGCTCTTCATCTCTCTGAGCAAGGCCTGCTCAGCAGCTAAGTACAGGAGCTGCTGGAGGAATCAGCCAAGCACAGCTAGGCATTGTGGGAGCTGTTTCAAAGCAAAGAACCTGACTGATTCTATAAGTGGTCCCCTGCAAAAATCCATCCCTTTCCTTGTTACCCCTTGTAACACTCCCTGTATTAGTCAGTTTTCTGTCCCTTATAACAGAATACCTGAAACTGGGCAGTTTACAAGAAGATGACATTTATTTCTTACAGTTTTGGAGGCTGGGAAGTCCAAGGTCCAGGGGATGCTTTTGTGAGAGTCTTCTTCGTCGTGGGGGCTTTCTAAGAGTCCTGTGGTGATACAGAGTATCATATGGTGAGGGGAGAGAGTGTACATTAATGTGCTCACTTGCTGTCCTTCTAAAGCTACCAGTGTCCCAGTGCCCCTCCCATGATAACCCACTCATCCATTAACCCATTAATCCATTCAGGAGAGCATAGCCCTCACTATCTAATCACTTCCCAAAGGCCCCACCTCTCAACACTGCCACACTGGCGATCAAACTTCCACATGAGCTTTGCAGGGGACAAACTATTCAGACCATAGCACCTCCCAACCCTGCACACACACACGTGCGCGCATGCACGCGCGCGCGCACGCACACACACACACACACACACACACACACACACACTCTCTCTCTCTCTCTGTTCAGAAAACTTTACCATGTTCTGGTTAAGAGATGAGGCATTGCCCTCAGTGGACTTGCAGTACATTTGGTGAAGGGGGGAGGTTTCCAGTGAAAGTACAGGCTGTGTCCCATACGTTGGGCATGCAGTAAGCACCATTTACCATGTTCTGGTTAAGAGATGAGGCATTGCCCTCAGTGGACTTGCAGTACATTTGGTGAAGGGGGGAGGTTTCCAGTGAAAGTACAGGCTGTGTCCCATACGTTGGGCATGCAGTAAGCACCACAGGGACTGGGGACGTGAGGAAAGTCTCTTGGAGGAGGTAGGAAGACCATAGAGTGGCTGGCGGGGAGGGGTAGAGGCTGTAGGGAATGAAACCCTGAGGCTGTCCTCAAAGGAGGGAGGGGCCCTTATAGTTAGGCCTGTGGAGAGGGCAGCTCCATTCCCAGAGAGTAAAACCGCACTGTGTTTCTCAGAGGTGAGAGGCTCGAAAGAAGAATTTGGCAGAAACCCTGCTTCCAGTAGAAGCAGCAGAGCCGGTTAGAAGGGGCTCACAAATTCCATTCCACAGCTTCTTTATACTGATGCCTCAGGCCCATGGGATGATGCACCAATTCATTCATTCACTCCTGCTTATGCCAGGCCCTTTGCAGGATACTGGGGACACGGGGCTAACACGGACTCTACCTCAGTGTAGCGCCTGTTTCTCAAAATGTACACCGCAGCCTCAGCATTCTCACTGCTAAAAATACAGCCCCTCGGCCTCACCTCATACCTAGATTTACTGTATCAGAATCTCTATACTGGTCCTGAGAATCTGCATTCTCAACAACTTCCCACCTTCCCCGTCCCCATTCTCCTGCAGCTAAAGCTGGAGAACGCTGGTCTGGTGGCTTCTTACCCCGCAGGACTTTCAGGGCAGTTCTGTATGCTTAGATGTGAGGCAGACAGAAACAGCACGCTGCAGGAGGAGGCGGTGCGGGGGCTGCGCCCCTCCCAGCCCCCGCCCCTATCCTCCGAGGGCAGGGGTCGAGAGGGATCAGGGCAGCCCCACCCCTCCACGCTAGCCCCGCCTCGGCTGTCACGGGCGAGGAAGCTCCGCCCTGGCCCGGAGCACGCCGCCTAGCCCAGGCCCAGCCTCCAGATCCCTGGCCAGGACCCTCGGCGGGGCCGCGACCAGAGCGACCACGCGTCCTGCGGACTCCAGCTTCCACCCGGGAGCGAGGGAGCGACATGGCAGCCGCGGCCAAGCCTGAGAACCTCTCTCTGGTGGTGCACGGCCCCGGGGACCTGCGCCTGGTAAAACGCGAAGGAGGGTGGGGAGCCTACCCGACCCCGCCTCACTCCTCTCTGAGTCCAGCCGCGGGCCTGTCTGCCCAGTTCCCGCCCGAGCCGGCTCTGCACCTGGCGCGCCCTGGCCGCTCGGATCTCTGGGGGTGGGGGTGGGGTAGCGCTCAGCGGTTGTTGCTAAGGACAGGGATCTGGTCGTGTGCCTCCCGGAACCTATCCCTGTGGCCAGCACGTGGCGTCGCCTAGAACGGTTGCAAACCGATTGAAGCCTTCTGCTTCCTTTGCCAGCTGCAGATTCATAATCGAACTTGTTCTTGCACTTTTCAGAAGAGATACTAGGGAGGCTGCCTGAATTAGGGCCTGTCCTGGACTTCTCCCCTGGGCAGACAGTGCAGTAAAGAAAGGGGGGCCAAAGGACACTTAGAAACAGTGGAACTTATATTTAGTCACCCTTGCTTGGAACTGGTAGAACCTAAAATGCCGGCTTCTTCCAGTCCAGGCCTCCATCTCCAGGGCTCCTGGCGTTCCCCTTGCCTGAGCCAGACTTCTGGATCTTGAAAATCCCCAAATCTCTAAAGCTCCTTATTCCTTTATCTCCCTTTTTCCACACTTTCCAGCCATTTTCCTTTCTCATTTGGCTTCCCTGTCCCTTTAGGAGCGTTCTGTATGTCTCCTCCATCTCCTCCTCAGACCTTGCCATCTGCCCCCTGGCTCCTGGGGCCAAATTTCAGGGAGCTGTTGAGTCAGTCCTGTGGTCATGCCAGGGCTTCCTTGACAAAGTCCATCTCAGATGGGTTGGGATGGGAGTGGGTATATGGGACAGGTGCCAGCCATCTCTTCTGCTCCCCTGCACCTCCTTCCTCTCAAAGAACATGCACGAGGATCTAAATTAGAGAGACTCAGATTATTCAGATTAACAGTTCTTAACTGTTTAAGAATATGTGGTCTCACGGAATTCAAACAGACTGAGTTTGGCAAGAATTTCAGATTGTTTAAGGGTTTCCTTTAATCCCCTGTATAGACCCTCTAGTGATCTGTGGACCCCAGGCTAAAAACCCTTGTTCCCAGCCAGCTCTCTATTTCCTCAATTGAAGAAAGTGCCATACCCAAGGTGATAGTCTTGGTTAGTTAACACAGCCAAGACCAGAACTCAGACGTTCGGACTCCCATTCTAGTGCTCTTTCCACTCACCTTTAGAGCCTCCACCCAAGGTCCTGAATTAAAGTGACATTCTTAGTGTCTATTGCTACAAATGCCAGATAGTATTATGGAGAAGGGAAAGCGGTATAGCTCTGCACAGCTTACAGAGTGATTTCAAACTCAATCCTTCATTCTACAAACGTTTGCTAGATGAGAGGATTCCTGCCATGCCAAGCTCTGGCCTGGGAGCCCAGAGAGGAGGAGAACACAACCCCTGCACCCAAGCTTCCCAAGGAGACAGGCAGATGAAGTAAACAATTACCACAGAGTATGAGAGCTTTGATGGAGGCCGCAGAGAGCAAAGGCCTGGGATGGGGGTTATATCTGCCTTAACTCCTAAACTCTTCGACTGCTCGGGCCAACTACCTCTCTTTATCATGGCTCTGTAGACAAAGCCCTGAAGATTAGAGGTGGGGGGGAGCTCACCTTAGAATTGATCTCATCAGCTTTGCATTAGAACCCGCTCTGACTAGATTGGAGGGGTGTGCTTGGGGTGGCTGTATCCTAAAGGCTCTAGAAGATATTATGGGCTACAGAAGTTCACCTGTGGTTGTGGGACTGGTACACTAACTGGGTAAAAGGGTTTAGGGGTGGATTCAGGAGGACTCCCAGGTTCAGTTTGAGTGTGGGAGGTGTTAGGGTCATTTAACAGAAGATTAAAATGATGAGATCAGGTTTGAAAATTTGAGTTTAAGATGTCTCTGGGGCAGAACACAAGGTGGCTTTGAGAAATTCCCTTGGATGCAGAGGTCTGGAGTGCAAGGATGCTATCTGGACTGGAGATGTAGATTCAGGAGTCATTTGTTTCTCTACTGAGCAGTACTGCAGCCCCCCCCCCCCCCCCCCCCCCCTAGGGTCATTTAACAGAAGATTAAAATGATGAGATCAGGTTTGAAAATTTGAGTTTAAGATGTCTCTGGGGCAGAACACAAGGTGGCTTTGAGAAATTCCCTTGGATGCAGAGGTCTGGAGTGCAAGGATGCTATCTGGACTGGAGATGTAGATTCAGGAGTCATTTGTTTCTCTACTGAGCAGTACTGCAGCCCCCCCCCCCCGCCCCCCACCACTGGCATTTGGAAATGTGTCAGGGGTAATTGGTTGTCACAATGACTGAGGGGGAACAACTGGCAGTTCATAGCACTTTCCTGTGCAACAGAGAATTATCTTGTCCCAAATAGTGCCCTATTGGGAAATTGTAGATGCCTGAGCTTGCCTGGGCTGAGTGGAACGTGTAGAGTGAGAAGGAAAGAAGTGGAGGATATTACACTGGAGAAAGCCCCAACAACTGGAGGGGAAGGGGCAGGAAAAGCTGTCACCAGAGAAGACAAACTGGGGAGGCCTGTGCTGCCTCAGGGACACCTGCAACCCCACACAGACCTCTGAGTCCTTACCACTCCTTCCCAGGCACAGTCTACCCCCAGAACCTCCAGTAAGTTATCTCTGCCCCTCCACCCCTTCCTTAAGGTAAATAGGTTCAGTGGTTTGTGGAGTCGGGGATGGTAGTGCCAGTAGTATACCAGAAATAGCAACAGGGAGAAATGGCCCTGGGGAAGCTTTGAGGGAAAATGACCTGTTTTTTTTTCTGTGTGGGAGGACTAAAATGAAACCCTAATAAAAGTCAGTAGTTGCATTTGAAAAAATAAAAGAAGGGCTAGGTTGGATATGAATTACCAAAGAGATAAGGGAGAAGGGGGAAGAATTGGAATGTTTTCTCCTTTTGATAGAAGATCACCAAAGCACAGATAAAAAACCCTTCCACTCCTGGCTGGGTAGGGAATTGAGGCGCAGCAGGCGGTGGCCTGTTTGGGTGGACCCAGGGCAGGGTCTGCTGATCAAACTGGTATGAAGAAGTTGTTTGGGGAAGTGCCCATTCCTAAAACTAGAAGCAGGAAGCAAGGGCTCAACCCTTCCCAGTACTGCCTTCTTGCTTCAGGTAAAGCTAGGAACCAGCCAGCGTCCAGGGCAGTGGTTCTGTGGGAAAATAAGACCTGGGCCACTTTATTTGTCCCCTGACTGGCAGGAAGGAAACCTAACACCCAGTCTCCCTCTTGCCTGTGGAAAAGGCATGATTCTCTTTCTTGATGCTGTGGCTGCAGAGAACAAAAAATTAAACTCCTCCCCTACTAGACAGTGATCACCTCAACCACAGCAAGGGAGGGAGTGTTTGTATATTGGGTGGTAGGTCGGAGAGAGAGACATACACACTGACAGACTGGTGGTTTTCTTTTATAACATGAAAACAAAACAAAAAGCTGAGACATAAGGACCTTCACTTTTCTCCCTTATATTGACCCTTGACCTTGGTGTTAACATCTTGCTATAACCAACTGCACTAACCGGCCAGCTCCCTTCTCTCTTGTTTTAAATAAGGAAGGTTTGGGACTTCAAGGGAGCCAGAGAGAGAAGTGACTGAGGTGATGCATAAGGAAGCATCAGCAGACAGTGCCACCTCTCTGAGGTCCTCTTTACATGGAAACAATAAGGTCACAAGTCAGGGTAGGGGCCAGAGTGGGGTTTAGTCCCAATTTTACTGCTGCTAGTTGTATGACTCGACAAATTATTTTTGGCTTCAATTTCCCCATCTGTGAAATGGGGACTCATTGTTGGTTGTGTGAGGATTCAAGGGGATTGTGCATGTGAAAGGCCCAGCACAGCATCCAGCACAGTGTTGGTGCTACGTGCTAACTGTTGAGTTAAGCAGGGGGCCAGAGCCCATGAGAACTGGACACAAACCATCTCAGCATAAAAAGAGATGGATAAAGATCAAGACCTTCAACCATATTGACAATTCTTAGCCAATGTGGGCCCAGGCAATTATCTTGTATTCAACTGTATTTACCGTTTAATTACTTTATGCTTCTTTGATCAGTCTTGAGAAATTCAGAGGTTGCTTTTAATTAGGAAATGAATTACTGGTTCATGAAGTTGAGCAATAAAACAGTTGAATTAATTTTTCCCCACAGAAGCTATGTTTGGTGATGTGGGATGGGGGATGGCTTGTGTTTTTAATGTTGTGAGGGTCCCTTGAATGTTAAGGAAGTGAGGGGAATTAACATGTTGAGTGCCTGGCGAGTGCTGGGTACTTGATAACGCATCACTTCATGAAATATCCGTGATGACCAATTTTATTTTTATTTTCAATCAGCCACGGACTGATAACGTTTGCATCGCTCCATTTGGACGTTGCAGCAGTGTCAAAATGCTATAAACATTTCTAAACGTTCCTCCCAATTTCTATAAGTACTGCATCACAAATCAGTAAGAGCTTATCCACCATCCTGAGTGAACTTTATCTTGCTTATTTGCTTATTCCTGAAAACCAGCTCTTCCAGATTTCAGGCATGAGCATGTGGACAGGGAGAAAAACGGGAAGAAAACAGCTCCCCTTCTGGGGAACTGAACACTGTGGAGGGAATGTAGTCAGATTTTTGTTTTATGAGAAGATGACAAGTTCAGGGGAAAATAATCATTTTAGAATGATGGCTTGAGGTGCCAGCCCGTGGCTCACTTGGGAGAGTGTGGTGCTGATAACACCAAGTCGAAGGTTAAGATCCCCTTACCGGTCATCTTTCAAAAAGAAAAAAAAAATAAAAGGAATGATGGCTTGATGTTTTTTAATTATAAAGCATAGAGAAAATAATGGATCTGCCTCCCCTCTAAACATTAATCAGGGTTCCATGAAGATATTTCTAGAGTTTTTGCTCTTTGAGAAAATGTATTATACCCTAGATCAAAAGAGTTGCTTTCATAATAATATTTTTATTTTCTTTATTTTAATCCTTTTGTTATTTTTTAACAAATGGCTCCAA